ACATTTACTGCAGAACTGAAGCAAAACTCAAACACAAACTACAAGAAATGAGTAGCTGGCTAAAAGCGGGATTTAGAAGGAAAACAAACATCTAAAGTCCCGAAACTGCCGACGGAAAGTCACAGCTACATGATGCAGTTCTGACGCGGTGATTCGGCGGTGCAGGGAAGAGAGCAAGTTCGATCTCACCAAAACGTTGCTGCTGTAATGGTGGCGACGGCGTGTACCGATGCTCGCTGGCGGCGACGATGGAACGGGGCTCGCTCGGTGATGCCTGTGGCGGCCCAGATTCGCCCGATGAGGTGGCTGGTTGCAAGGCTCAGGCCCGTGACCCGAACTGCCGTTGCTGCACCCGCACCGGAATCTGCAGGCCTTGGTCTCGACCGTTGAGGCAGCTCGCCGTCCTTGGAAGGCGCTGTCCGGAGGTCCAGACCGGGTGAAGTCCAGAAGGCTCAGGTCTGCCACCCGACTGCCTGTCTTCAGCTCCCAGCTGTGACCTTCCTCTTGCCTCGTTCACCTCGAACTACTAGCTCTTTTGCCCTTCAGGATTGGCTTCCTCTGGGGCACACTTGTCTCGTCCCGATTGGCCTTTCAAAACTCCGTGGTGATCAGCCATTGGCCCTTGTTTGCTTTATGGTCTTGGATGCTTGCGCTCCACGCTCTCACGTGTACCGGTCCTCGGCGTCGTCGTTGTTCAGGCGACCCAGCACGTGCACTCGGTCATCCTTTAATTTCGCGCACTTTTCAATCATTCACAATTACGCGCACCAGTCGCATCACCATCGCATCACATGACCTTGAGTGTCTTGGTTTGATTAATTACATGGAAAGGGCGATCTCAGAGCGCACCCAGAGTTTTTGCAAGAGTATTGTCGTCGTTTTCCGTACAGAACAGCGTCCTATACAAAAGAAATTTTTCGTCGATCGGATCTACCTACTTGCTTGTCATCCCGGCAGCTCTCCGCACTGAAGTACTTCAAGCATGTCACAACGACTTGACTTCTGGTCACTTAGGTTACACGCGCAAATTGGCGAGAGTTCATCAAAGATATTACTGGCCAAGGCTCACCGCTGCCGTGAAGCAACACATTCGTACTTGTTTGGACTGCCAGCGACGTAAGTCTCCTCCGATGAAACCAGCCGGCCTGCTGCAACCTGTTCAGGTCCCAAGTACACCATTCGACCAGATCGGAATGGATATCTTAGGTTCACTTCCTACTTCTGCTGGAGGGAACCGCTGGGTTATCGTCGCGACGGATTACCTTACCCGGTACGACGAAACGAAGGCTATCCAACAAAGCACAGCAGTGGAGGTAGCCAAATATTTCATTGAAAATGTTGTACTGCGACATGGCGTACCATCCGTGATGATAACAGACTGCGGGCCTGCATTCACGGCGGCTCTTCTTGAGCACGTCTTGAAGTTAGGTGGAATGAGTCATTGAAAGACCACTGCCTACTACCCGCAGACGAACGAACTGACAGAGCACCTCAACAAGACAATTGAAGATATGCTGTCGATGTACGTGGACGTTTGACATAAAAATTGGCACGAGATCTTGCCCTATATCACGTTCGCGTACAATACAGCCAAGCAAAAAACGACTTGCATGACTCCATTCAGCCTTGTTTACGGACGGGAGGTAAGGACAATGCTAGATGCTATGTTACCACATGAATGGGACGACAATGGCACGGGCGCCGACATATATACCGAACGCGCGGAAGAAGCCAGGCAGCTCGCACGCTTGAGAATCCGCCGGCAACAACATTAGGACGCAGGTCGCTACAATGCCCACCGGAGAGCAGTAACCTACGAAGCCGGTGACCGAGTGTGGGTGTGGACACCCATACGAAGACAAAGACTGTCTGAGAAACTCTTAAGGACGGTATAGAGTAATGCAAAAGTTTAGTGACGTCATCTACGAGGTCGTCCGTGACAGTCCCTCTTACACCAGGCGTCAACAGGAATGGTCTGAGCTTGTAGATGTGGTACGCATGAAGCCATATGTCAGTGATACACTGCGTTTTTCCACAACGGTAGCTGGGATGTAGCATCGGGGCGATGCCTATAAGGAGGGGCGAATGACACGTGTATATACGTAGAAGAGGATGACGATGGAGGTGTTTCGCAGACTCCAGGTAGCGGGACAGGAGGTTGGAAAAAGGAAGAAGAAGCAGACCTTCGCTGCACAGTTGATTCTGAAACACGCAATGCTGAAAGTATCGGGCAAATTCACCTTATAATCGGCAAATATCCTCCTTTGGGTACGAGCCAGTTGCAGAAGAAAACAACAACAACAAAAACACGCTGTTTCGTTGTCGCTAGTTGTTTCTGTCTTTTGTTCTGGCTACACCGCGACAATATATTAGGTTCCCATATTTCCTTTATTCTCTAAGCAGTATATTAAAACTAGCTTTCGTGGACTACATGCAAATGCCCAGTGAAAAAGGGCGTGCTTGGGCTTCGTAGCCTTGGTTGTGCTCCCACAGAAAGTTGTCGCCGAGTATTTAGGAAGTAACGCTGCCAAGTTTGTATGTACATAAATAGTGAATAAAGTAGATGGGTAGAAAACCCACCAACTTGAAGGTGTAGTGCAGTGGGTGGACATCTGAGGCGCCATGGTGTTCAAAGGCCACAAGTTTGGTCCCGGCTGGCGGCAACTTTGCTTTTCATCCACTTCACTTTCTTCCCATTTACATAATCATGACTCCCAAAATTCCTTTACTTTACTTAGATTTCTTGTCCGTACTAAACCACTTATACCCAAGGATTCAGCAGATTCTTCAGGCAGCATTCTGGAGGTTGGCTTAGAAAGACCTTGTTGCATTTCTCACTTAAACGCATTGTAATATTGATAAAATGTGACTGCAAATTTTAAATTACGTGAATTTTCTGCAATCTACTAAGCGCAACGGCAACACGTAGCATACGCGCTGTATGGCAGAACCTGTACAATGACAAGATGGCTTACACAGAGCCATTTGATCATGCAGCCTGGGCTTTTAAGCTCAATAAGGCGTAGCAGGAATATAAATGCGAATTAAATGGGCGTGCTCACTCAGTGGAAGTGCCTGCTTCACGGTTGTCATGCTGGCAACTTCATATGATCTTCATAGGACGCAGCGAGGATGCTTCATCGTTCAAAGCTGCACTAACCATATGCGTCTCCAGGCTGTGATGAGTTAGTTTATTTGAACACGTATTTCCATTATTATGTGGAACCTGTATGTTGTATTTGTTGCATTTTTTGTTTTCGTATACCCTACACCCTATGCAACGCTTTTAGATGCCGCGAGGGTAAAATATATGAAATGAAATACCGAAACAACAACAAAATCTTGCTTGCATAGCTTTTATAGCATAATACAAAAATGCTGACCTGAAGTGCAGAAGATGGTGCTTGTGGTGCTTCACATTTATTAGTTTGTATTTTGAAATATTAACATCACTGAGAGCTCCTGCAAATCTCAAACATCTTTGTCTTGTATTCTTTCTTTACCTGTAAATCCAGAATGAACAAGATGAAGACTAGGCACAGGCAACGTGAACTCAGTTTCAGACGCTCTGAACTGATACGCAGGAGAGGCTGTCACAGCAAACGACTGGTTTGATAACTTCTAATATTATGCATATAAAAATATCCACATACGAATGCATTGGTCAAAAATGTGTTCATGGATTATGTTGCTCATGAAAAAGGTTAAGATTGCTTGGTAATTCTGCGAGTTTTCAAGTTTAGATAAGTTGATAAATATAAATCTTTTATATAGATAATTTTCAGAAAGAAACACCATTATCGGCAATATAATGTGTCTTAAAGCGCACTTTATTGGCAGACGTTAATGTTACATGAACAACAAGTGCGACACGCCAGCGAAGACCAAATACGATAGTAACGTAAAAACAATATGCAAATTCATGGTCGACGGAGGGTTATTTCAAATGCGCTGCTTCAATCAATCATGGAGTCACTCGCAAATATCAGCGAAAGACGGAACACGGCTCATAAGAAATGTGAGAGAGATTGCACGAGTGAATACTGATGATAAACTGCTCTGCAGCTTCTTGACGTCGCAATCAGGGCAAGCTATATTTAAATGAAAGCTTACTGCTCTTGACGATCGTCTGCTGATGCTAAGCTAGACGGAACTTCACACTCAGAAATAAATTCTTGACAACACTATTTTGAGAAATACAGCTGTGCGCACGTACTTGATTTATCGAAGCATATATTTGATAACAAAAGAAATGAAAATTTAGGGGTTTTTCGTTCCTCGTAAGAAATTTTATTGATGAGAACAGACACTCTGCCAAGTAAAGTACTGGGGGTCTATTTTTTCTTTGGTAGCATTCTTTTTAGTTCTGATTACTACCGCGTCTAACCTACATGACAACTAGTATAATAATTACGAATATGCAGTGGTAGATATGCATGTAACAGAAGAATAAATACATCTGACATGCTTTTTTAGTAATGGATAAATTATGCTGTCTTCTATGAGGGAATTCCGCATGCTTTCTTTAAATGTGCAATAACTTCTATGTCGACTCAACGAGAAAACTTTCCGTTTTAGTATTTCCCTGTGTCGCGTTAAAGTATAATTGACGAAAATATTTGAACGACGAATTTTGTTTCATAGAGCTGACTTTGAACAAACTCTTCCACGGTCCGCTGTAAAAGTCTTGGCCTCTGAACCATGCCCATTTTCTTTCCTTTTCTGCACTACAATATAAAACTGTACCTGCAGAACACAAAAGTATTTTAACTAAAGGAGTGTGCTGTGCTAGCGACACAAAATAGATCAACAATGATCCTCTCCGTAAAGGCTTCATTGAATTTCTTGGTGGAGTAAAGGCCCTCTTAAGGCCATACGAAGTCTATATGGAAATTTCTTTTAATCACGAGAATCATTTTTCGAAAACCTCAATCTAACTCCTACTTTCTTTATTCGTAGAATGTGAGTGTCGTGGAGTCATTGAAAGCTGAAAAGAGTCCATGAAAGGAGATGAAAGATTCAATAGCGATGCCAAGCCAGAGCGAGAGCCCATGAAGGGAGATGGAGGTTCGATAGTGATGCCAACCCTGAGCAACGGTCTAGGTGAGCTTGCGATTCACACTAAAACTGCATACTTATGCGTGCTTATGCGCGCTTATGCACAGCACTCACCAGCATTACACCTCTATTGTATTTGTTGGCAATTTAACTAGAAATGAAAACCCACGAAATGAAATTGTTCTGATCAATACAGCAATTTATGAAGCATTATTTCCAACAATTGCGTATGTATACAAACGCACTACGTCGACTGAGAAGCCTAAGTGTTTACGAGAAGTGCACTAAATATCCCCACGAAGCAGCACCCACTTTTTACAGCTATATTTGTTATCTCCAATACCGATAAGAAAAGGCTTAAAGGTAAAAAAATGTACCGAAAATAAGAACGCAATAAGTACTTGCCATTTACAATACGAGGTTTCTGGAGGAAACGGTAGCCTACTTTACACAGAAGTTGGAGAGAAAAAGAAAAAGAAGAAAAGTTTCAGCGGGGAGGGGGTTACCCTAAAGTTAACTATGTCCAGTTGGCCACCCAAAATAGAGCAGCGCGTACAGAAAGTGCCTAAGTAGACTGCTTGAGACGTATTTACAAAATAAGCTTGAAAGAGTAAAAAAAAATCATAGCATATTCGCGGAGTGAATGATGATGAGAGTACAGAGGCGTCCATCCGTCTATCCATTTATCTGTCTGTCTGTTTGTTTGTCTGTCTGTCTTTCAGTCGGTCGGTCGGTCGGTCGGTCGGTTGGTCGGTAAGTATAAGAGAGCGGCATCTATTGTACGATAAGGGTATGCTGTCTGTCTATCTCTATGGGACCGCGCCACCTATTGTATGATAAAGAGGACGCTATTGGATACGCCCGAAAGACGAGGGATTGCCGTGAACCATGAGGAGCTTCGCTTCTAACAAGCTGGCTCGCTCTATTTTGATGCGTGGCCAAGAGACCGTCGCAGCCGTACACGCGGGTGGACACATAAAGCACTTGTAAACTGATCTTTCTTGATTTACTTCATGCCCATAAATTAGGAAATACGCTTGTTAAAAAATATTCCATTTAATCTAATAATGAGCCGTTTACCGTGTCTGTGTGTCGGTTTAGTTTGACTTCCCTAAGTGAGGAGAGATGTGTGACACATACTGTAAATTGCACAGTTGAACACGTAGATTACTGCTGCCAGCAAGGCATCTCAGAAGGTGACTATCCCAATAATATACGTTGTGCAAATGCTGAATAGGCTAAGTTTGCATCTTTTATAAAAAGTCACAGCTTTTCCCCAAAGGCAAAGCAATGAACACGATAGCAACAAATTGGACGGTCACGCGCAGAATGAAAAGCAGATCGAAACGTGCTCTGCGTTTGTCACGCGCAAATAACGCATGAAACATACTCACAAGTACAGATGCATGCGAATAAGCATCTCAGTTGTTACTTCGCTGTATCTGAAGAGCGCGCGCTTTTCGAAAACGAAGACTGCAATGATTGCACTGACCTTTGTGCACCCGGTAACCACAACAGAATTGTTCCAGGTAAAACCCGAGGTCAGCCAAGTCATACGATCCTCCCCTCCTCCCCACCGCAAGATGAGGAGGCGCGAGAGAGCATCGCACGCCTCCTCCAAGTGGGGAAAAGTACGCGTTGAAGATTAGAGCGCGTGCCGCCGCGTGATGCGTCGACGCGCGATCATTGCGTCATCTTGCTGGTAATGCTGAAAACGCGATGATTCCCCCCGAGACGTCCGTGAGCAGCGGTAAGTGGTAGATATAAATAGCTTGCCGTTTGAACAGTGAAGGACGTGCTCCTCGGTGGCGCAGTGGTCAACGCCTCGCGTAATTCACGACTGAGAGGTAGTACGTTCGATTCCGCATGCATGTCTTTTCAAGATTTTGTTTATTTCTTGCGTTTTTTACATATACATATATAGATGTGTATATATATACTGTCAATGGCGGCGATGTTCACGCCGACGTCGGTGGCAAAACTCAGCGGATAGTGTCCATATAATTGCTATCGCCATAAAACTTGCTGCTTCTACATGGAAACGAAGAAAATTTTTCGAACATGCTTTTTTCAATTACCCTTTCTGAAGAAAAATTAAAGCTTGTAACGTAACTTAAATGAAATTTAATGTTCGCCGGCAAGATCTTGCACTGACCGGCGTACATCGTGACACTGACATCATGCAAAGCGTCATTCAGGAAAGTACTAGCCTCCGAAGCGTCCCCATCATGGTCTAGCTTCGACACACCGAGCTAAACCCCGACGTCATAGCCGTCATTCGGCTTTTGCTGCTGGCGAATGACGTCATAGCCGTCATTCGCCAGCAGCATCCTCTTCGGCTTTGGGTCATGAATCAGTGCACAAGGTGAACGTGTGGAAGACTCTATAGGAAGTCTTCACTTCCGCAATAAATATAACTCGCAGCGCATTCCACATGTGACAGACGAGGCAAGCCGCGTGAAAGTGCCTCACAGGTTGGTCTGCCCTTTTACACGCGAGATATCGTTAGTTGCACGTGCCGATCTGTGGTTCTCGGAGCGTCGCTAACCAAAATAGCAAATATTGGGTAATAAAAAAGCTGTAAACATTTTTATTTTGTCGCGCTGCAGTAATCAGCGTGCCTTGCTTTCAATAATATGTCCTGTCAACATACAACAGAAAAAAATACCCCATATCATATTTTTGTACCCCTGACTCTTTAGGAGGTACTCACACAACGTGGACTTGGCTCTTTTTGAGAAAAAAAAAAGAACCAAACGACAAGTATATTTTAATTGTTTACGCTAATGCATTCGAATAGTGTAGCGCAATCTCATGCCTTTTTTTAGAGTGCTGGACTGAGAAAACAGATTTGCTGACGTTCAATCTTGAATGCAGAAAGTATTAATAACATGCGAGTTCAAGTCACACTATAAAACGATCGTTTTTTTTCTGTTAACCTTTGACAGAATCAAAATATATATAAGGCTGGCTTACTGTTACGCAAACCTCCAACGCAGATTAGACACATTGCCTATGGCGAAGGTTCTGAGCCTTCGTAATGTTCTCGCTGTGGCTGTTGGGGTTTCGGCTTTGTCGATATTGTTAAACGAAGGCACGTTTGGGGTTAGTGCAGAACCAAGGGTCTCGCTAACACTTCCTCGTAAAAATTTTTACTATAGAAGTAAACCAGCACCCACGAGACCTAAAGGTTCATCAGCTAAAAAACCTGCGAAAGCCGCTGAACCTTCACATGCTTCAAAGCCTGCTGCGTCTTCTGCATCTGCTGAATCTTCACCGCCTTCGAATACTCCTCTCGAAGTTGATGTACCGGGTGATCCCCCTCAAACGTCTGGGTCTACAGCCGCACATGTCGGTACGGTGTTTTTTTTCACTGCAGCAGTGCTTTATATTACTGAGCCTTTTTGTAGACGCGACAGAAGTGCCAAGCCGAATTAAACCAGTAAAACTTGCGAGTTGACTCTGCGCGTAGAGCCAACCCAGACAAACACCAGTTTACCGTGCGCACTGTAACAGATTGCCGTCACCCACGTGAAGTGACAATCATGTTTCTGTTAAGGTAACAAGTGAAGTGCCGCACGATTATGCTGACAATGTTTCCGGGTCGTACTAGTTCAAAACGCTACGAACTCTGGAGTGGTACACCACTTCTGAGTGCACCACTCGTGAGCAGCATTTGGTACACCGTATTGAGGTCTAGTTTTCTCGTCACCAAGAAGCTCACCGGCTTGTGCCCAAGCCTCTGCGAGGACGGGTGGTGACGAGGCGGTTGTAGTAAAAAGTATGCCAGAATTTTCTTCAAAGCTGCTATAGAAGTAGTGTACCAAATTCAGCTCTCTTGCGCTCGTTCGTACATGGGACAAGCAGGACGCTACTTCAATGAACGTGTAGGAGAGCATGCCACGTTCATTACGGAAAGACTATGGGTGAACATGCCCGTGCATGGTAGCTCTCACTTGAGGTGTGAGCCCTCTTTCGAAAGGAAGAAAATCTAGGCAAGTGCAAAGGCGGAGTTGGGCGTGGGATGTTAGAAATGTTTTATTGTAATTAAACAAGCGAAAACTTCGTAACCGACGCTTCCGTTGCTCTGTACAATGCATGAACTCATTTTTTGCGCAGCTTTCATTGACATCATGTGACCTTGACATGTGCTTCCTCAATTTAAATGCCAAGGAATTCTTAGCGAACTTCGGTGAATTTGAGTGTATCTATCAACCTGTCTGCCTGCCTGTCTGTCTGTCTGTCTGTCACTCTATCTATCTATCTATCTATCTATCTATCTATCTATCTATCTATCTATCTATCTATCTATCTATCTATCTATCTATCTATCTATCTATCTATCTATCTATCTATCTATCTATCTATCCATCTATCTATCTATCTATCTAACTATCTATTTATCTATCTATCTGCGCCATTTTGCTCTTCTGGCCGTTTCAATAATGGTATGAATACCAAAAGTGGTAAAGCATAACATGACTCTATGACGAGAAGAAGTGATTAGTCACACAAGAAAATCTTGCATAAGTGTTATGAATGTTATCATTTATATTTCATGGTTTCTCTGCACTTTCGGTGGGTTTGTACACATGGCATATTGCTAAACATGTATGGTATGATATGATTGCATGACGAAGAAAAGTGACAGACCCTAACGTGGAAACCATGGCATGCATGTCATGTAAGTCATGACTACCAGCCACGTTCATAGAGCGCTCACGATGGTTTTGCTAGCATCACATATACCAAATTTAGTTTTACAGGGCGTGAATAAATGTCGAAGTTGTACAAGTGGTGCAAACTTGATAATAATGAGATACGCGTCATGTGAGAACATGTCCACATGCCACGCTCATGATGCGCTAACGTCCGTTTCGCCAGGCTCACATATACCAAATTTGGTATCACTTCACGTGAATAAACGACCCCGGTAAATGACACCTCCAAACATAAGCAGCTCCCTTGACTTGACATTTGTGTCACGAAGCCTAAATGGAAGGGTTAAGTGGTTCACAGACTATGAAACTCGTGGAAGCGACCAC